CTGAGAGAATAGATCTTCTTTGGAAAGGCGTCCTTGGTACTGTAGAGGCTAATTTTTATGAACAATTTCGATAACTGTGTACGCAGTCCCGTGGTTTGCTGAGAGCAGTTCGACCAAATGGATCTTGCGGCATTATTTAAATAGTCGAAGATCAACCGAGTTAGGAGGCATTAGACTGACACAAATGAATTAGTGCCTTACCTGACAGCTGAGTCAGTTAGGTCGTCAGGCTGCTCAAACGGCCCAGAGGTTTACTTGGCTTATTACACTCTGTATTATGCAGCGGTTACCGTCGGAACTGCTGATCAGGGAAAATTTACACTTATTTCGAAAGCCACTTCTCTTTTTTAGCTCCTTTTTACACGCCAGTCTTTGTTCGGGCGAAAGTCGAGCAGTATATTCGTTTTAGGGGATAGCTGCTCGTTAGCCAATATGGGCTTCTATGAGGTTGTAAATGATTCAAAGGTAATTTCTTCTTGACCTACCGTACGCACAAAGCGTGCTCATAATCCCTTTTTGAATTACCAAGTAGACATGGTATTTTGTGAAAACGTTTTCCAGCAAATTTTCCCAAATAAGTGCGATATTACCGAGTATACAGTGCACCTAAAAGGTCCTAAAGGTGTAGACCGAAATGAAACTATCCCCTTACTTAAACGTAAAATCCTGATAGCACCATATCCGGCGAAAAATATTGATGTGCACCTTCCTAAGCTTTGAAAATTTTAGATAGTTCATCTAAAAAAATAAAAATAATGAAATTAGGGATTAATTAAGTTAAAATAAAAGGTAAAGACAACAGTTTGAACTGTGTGCACTGACAACAATAATCGGAAGTGGCACAAATTAGGTTAAATTGTGAAATGTTTTGGGGTTATTGCATACAACGATGGATAGTATTTGCAAATATTCTACTTCGTTGTTCTATAATTTATTTTAAAAGTACTATAAAAATTAAGAACGATCTAAAATGCCTGTATTACTGTTTACACATAGAGCACATCCAGTATCTCACGAAATGTTCGTTGAACCTCTAAAAACACGTTTCAATCCGAAAATATCAATTAAGTAGATATATAGCTTAATTATTTTGCGGAATAATCCCAAGATACTTCAAACACCTAGGGATGCCAGCTCTTAAAAGACTTTTTCCAATTGTCTGCAAAATCACACTGTAAAATGACTGCCTGAAAGAAATTGATTTTCAGTGTGAGCATAAATGCAAAAGAATTTTAAAGAAAGTATGCTCAGCATGTTCTGTTTTTAACTAATTTGATAGCAAAGTACGTATGCTTTAGATATTATGCTTAAAGAAAGGATATCTTTCTGTCGCATAAATGATATTGATTATGCGATTTTTAATACCGTTGAATTTTATCAATAAAGTTTCATATGGGACCATTTATTAATGCTGCCTATGAAGTATGCCATGTGGCTTCTTCATAATAGTACAGAAAAATGTCGAAATATTTTAGGCGGAATAAATAGAGAATGTAGGTTGGAAACCGTGAATACAACTGTCACGGTAGGTCAGGTTTCAAATACAGTAAAAATTCAACACTTTTGTTGAAAACGAAAGAGATCCTTTCTTCCTGCAAAAAAGGCCGAAAAGGTGTAAAAAAGGTATAATAAAGATAATTTTTTCAGGTTTTCTAGTAAATATAGTTGAACTTATAAAGACTTCAAAAAAGCATATGTAAAACATTCATAGTATATAATTGGTCGTGTTTGCATGGTAAAGTTTATGAAAGCGCCCTGAGCAACGCTCATTCAAAAGCTGACATCCTGATCTGACTAAAATAATTCATTCCTGTGCTGTAATGTGCTCAATGGTACAATCCTACTTGGGTGATGTTGACAAATCGAAAACTTTTTTTTAACTTTTGGCTAACATTTAAGGAAGAAGCACATATGCTCTATCTGACTTGACTATTCGGCTGGTGCTGCATTTAAGTCGTAATGCTTTTATTTTGCCCCAATTAAATTGTTTCCAAATTTAATGTAAAAAGGGTTCTGCAGAAATTACAATGTTTAACTCTTGTCACCAAAGAAACTACTGTTGCATGCGTGGCCAAGAGTATCAACTCCATCGAACTCACCACTTCGCCTTCCGATTCAGCCGAAAACGCAGTTTAACTTTGCTTTCACCAGAACATGTCCGATCATCCAAACCATGTGCAACACATACTACTAATAAATCTGGCAGGTCTCCTGACAAAATTTTGACTAATGCTTCGCTGCTTCAAGATTCTAAAAAGGGCCGTTGCAAGCACTCCCTGGTGCTCTTGTGAGTGACGCATACCGAAGGAACTCAGAAACAGTTAACTTTTCTTAAGATTCATTTCTGTGGTCTTAAACCCTAGAGTTCACGATAAATAATCAATGCACCAGCGGCGCGATTATTTGCATTTCCATAACCGGAATTTTCCTGTAAAGCTCGTTTTTCGGAGGCGTCAATCACTGTTTTAACCACCACAGTAAGAGACAGTATGCATCGAATGTGCTAGGTCATGAAATGTAACATACATTTCGTCATTTACCAATTATTCATTTGAAAAAAACGTAGACTTCTTTTTTAAAAACTTGCAAATCCTAAGAAATTTTTTATCCGATCCGCCTTAGTTTTGCAGTTTATGTTTAACACCTAGTATCACATCTTCCGTCTGAAGAAATTCATGCGAAAAATCGCAGTTTTCGAGAAAAGGAAGAGCGGATTCAGTTTAAATTTTTGATTCGCAAATTTTTTACGTTTGATGCCATAAAATTAAGCAATAAAATCGTGTGGCTCTACTTTTTTCACTAAGACAAAAAACCGTAAGCAAGAATATGTATGAAGACCAGCAACAAGCCGTCACTTTTCGCTGCCACACCGTACGTGTATGATGTCCAAATAATTTATATCCATGGTTGAGTGTGAACGGATACGGATACTGGATAGGAAACAGTCAAAAGATTATCAATTTTTGCAAACTTTTAGTATATGCGCTGCCACACGGGTTTTCTTCATTTGCAATCCTACAATGTGGCCTAAAAGTAAACAAATATAGCAACTTCGACAGAAAAGTGAGTTTTGTCATTTAAAACAGAAGATTTCTCCATAATTCTCAGAGAATTCCGAAAACCGGTCAACCCTTCCCATTTTTATCTTGATTAACCTTCGAAAAATTTAAAGCAAGCAGCTGCCCGGCGTTTAAATATCTGATTAAAGTGTTTTTAAAGAGACAACTTGTTATAAAAAGTTTTTAACGAGATCTAGGAATATTAATTGGTGATGATCCCTCGCCAATGTATTAACATGTTGGGTTAAATTCTACAACTATAATTCAGACAGACAGCTGCATTAGAAAGCATGCCTAAAAACACACTACTTCGATAAATGCTTTTAAGAAATATCATATCTTAAGGTTCCAATAAACGCATGGAACA